ACAGATAACATAATCTTGTATGCGGAAAATTCTAAAGAATCCGCCTGCTCCCCAAAAAACCCACTGATCTAATAAATAATTTAATTAGGGCAAGGATGTAAGATCAATATTTTTAAAACTTAATTTCTATATGTCAGTATTTCTATATATTAGCAGCAAATAATCTGAAGTTAAATCAAGAAAATAACTATTTGTAGCAGCACCAAAAAGAATCAAATACATAGGAATATATTTCATAAAAATGTAAGACTTATATAATAAAAACAATATCTTCCTGAAAAGAATAGAGAGACATTTTATATTTATAGATTGGAAGACTTAATATTACAAGGATAACAGTCCTCCAAAACTGATCTCTATATTAAATATAATACCTATCAAAATTCCAACAGGATGTTTTTAGACAAAAATTAATAAACTTACCCTAAGATTTACATGGGAATACAAAGGACCCAGAAACAGCAAAATAATTTTGATAAGAAGTACAATATTGGAGCATTCACTCTACATGATTTCAATACTTACTATAAAGCTACATTAATTAAGATAGTGTTATTTTGAAATAACGACAGGCATACAGATCAATGTAACAGAATTAAGAACCCAGAAAGAAACTCTTACATTTATGAGCACTGGGTTTTTGACAAAGATGCCAAGGTAACTTGATGGGGGAAGGTTGTCTTTCCAGAAAATTGTGCAGGGAAAAAATCTGATCTCCATATGGCCCACATGCAAAAATATTAATTTAAACCTTTACCTCATATTATGCACAGAAATAGACTCAAAATGGATCACAGACCTAAATGTAAGGGCTAAAATTTTGAAACTTTTAGAAAAACAGAGGAGAAAATCATGATGATTTTTAGAAAGGTAAAGAGTTCTTAGATATGACACCAAAAACACAATCTGTAAATGTTAAATTGAACTTAATCAAAAACAGAAACTTTTGTGCTTCAAAAGGCATAATTTTAAAAAATGAGAAGGAAAGCCACAGACCAGGAGAAAATACTTGCAGATAATAAACATGGCAAAAAAAACAACTTGATGTCAGAAGATACAAAGAATTCTCAAACTCTAAGACAAATGACCAAATTTAACAAGGCAAAATACTTATTACGTTTTACTAAAGAAGATGCATGAATGCTAGTAAGTCTATGAAAAGATGTCCAGTATCATTATTCATTCTGGAAATTCAAACTAAATCCACCAAGATACCACTTTACAGCTACTAGTGTGGCTACAATAAAAAAGTCAGATACTAGCAAATGTAGGAAAAGATGTAAAGAAACAGAAACTTCATACGTTTATGGAGAAATGTAAAATGGTACATGCACTTTGGAAAACAGATTTTCAGTTTCTTAAAAAGTTAAACATACCCACTTGAATAAACGAAACATGCTATTTACACATGATGAAATATTATTCAACCTTAAAAAGGAATGAAATCCTGTCACATGTTACATTATGGACACACCTTGAAGATATTTTGCTAAGCGAAATAAGCTGGACATAAAAAGACAAATAGTGTGCGCTTCCATTTATAAGAGGTGCAGAGAATAATTACATTCATAGAAGCAGAGAGTAAGTGAAAGCTATAAGGGGCTGAGGGAGAGGAGAATAGGCAGTTCTTGTTTAATAAATACAGAGTTTCAGTTTGAGATGATAAAAAAAAATTGTGGAGATGGACTGTAGTGATGACACTGAACTTAAATATGGCTAAAATGATAAATATTATGTGATGTATATTTTACCACAGTAAAAATATATCAAGAAGTTATACAAATTTATATATGACTCAGCAATTTCACTCCTAAGTATTTACCCAAGAGAAACAGAAACCTACATCTGAAAACTTTTCCACTAATAACCAAAGAAACATTTTTAGTCATCAAAATGGAAACTATCAACTGCTCATCAATTCACATGTATCACAAAAATGTGATATATGTGCACTTCTATCTATATAGATCTTTCACTCTCTCTACACACACATATGAATACTCTTCGGCAATAAAAAACTGAAGAAACAAATGAATACACTTCAAAAATGTAATACTAAGTGAAAAGGCCAGATGCAAAAGACAACATATTTTATGATTTATTAATTTAATGTATTAAATTGAGACAGAAAGCAGATTAGTAGTTGCCTAGGGCTGTGGGTGGCAACTAGAATAAACTGCAATGAGCATAGGAGATATTTCTGGAGTGATGAAAATGTTCTAAAACTGAACTGCAGTAATATTTGTAAGCCTCTGCACGTAAGTACAGTTATTGCTCAACTTACGACCATGGTCGCGGACCGGTCGTAACACGATTTGGTCGTAAGTTGAGTAGGCTATATGTACAGCTGAAATGATGCACGCGGAGATGGTAGTGCTGCCAGAAGCTGGTCCGCACTGTCGTACGCCCAGCTGGGCAACGTTTGCGCTGCCAGACGTGGAGCAGTCGTGGCTGGCGATTGGGTCGTAAAGTCGAATGGTCGTAAGTTGCATAGGTGGTAAGTCGATCAATACCTGTATATTAAAACTTCCTGAATTGGCTAGGGATGGTGGCTCATGCCTATAATCCCAACATTTTGGGAGGCTGAGATAGGAGGATCATTTGTGCCCAGCAATTTGAGATCAGCCTGGGCAACATAATGAGACCCCGTCTCTACAGAAAATTAAAAAATTAGCCAGGTGTTGTGGTGTTTATGTGTGGTCAAAGCTACTCAAGAGTCTAAGGTGAAAGGACTGCTTGAGTCTGGAAGGTGGAGAGGCGGCAGTGAGACCCCATCTCAAACAAAAAACCAAAAGTAAAATCTCATGGAATTGTACATTTAAAAGGATGAATTTTGTAATATGTAAATTCTACCTCAATAAAGACATTTAAAAATAATTTTCCCATTGTCAGGCATGTAACTCCCACTGACTTTTTAAAATAACTTTATTGAAATACACTTCAAATATCATACAGTCACCTATTTAAAGGGTACAATTCAATGGTTCACTAGTTTTTGGAATATTCAGAGGTGTGCAACCTTTGCCATGATCAGTCTTAGAACATTTTCATCAGCTCTCCAAAAAGCTTTACATAGTAGCAGTCGCGCTCCCTTTCCACCTAAGACATCCCAGCCCGAGGTAACTTTCTGCTTCTGCCTCTATAGGTTAATTTATTCTGGACATTTTGACTACGTGAATGAAAAAAACATCCCAGGATAGCAGTTCTTAACTGAGGTTGATGTTAGAATCACCTAGGGAGCTTCAGTAAAATATCTGCAGATTCTGATGCAATTGGTTTGTGATGTGGCCTGGGCATCAGGGTGTTAAAACCTCCCCAGATGAATCTAGCATGTGGCCACAGTTAAGATGTCTATTGCAGGGCAGTCGTGTTTAAACTTTAGCATGCATCAGCATTGCCTGGAGGGCCTATCACAATAGGAGTTGCTGGATCTTATTCTCAGAGTATCTGACAAAGTGGGTTTGAGGTAAAACCTAAGAATCTGCATTTTTAACAAGTTTGCAAGTGATGCTGATGCTCTGGTACAGGGATGCACTTTAAGAATCTGTGTGAGATGTCAGCACAGTGAAATGGAAGGAACCTGAGCCCCAGTAGCTAAGCTACCCATTTTCCCTAAACCGCCTACCTTCTTTATATTGTTACTTAAACAAGAAGTAAGAGTTTACTCTGCTATTGGGAACAGTGCCACAATAAATAAACGTGTGTACGTGTCTTTATAACAGAATGATTTATAATCCTTTGGGTATATACCCAGTAATGGGACTGCTGGGTCAAATGGTATTTCTATTTCTAGATCCTTGAGGAATCGCCACATTGTCTTCCGCAATGACGGAACTAATTTACACTCCTACCGACAGTGTAAAAGCATTCCTATTTCTCCACATCCTCTCCAGCACCTGTTGTCTCCTGATTTTTTAATGACTGCCATTCTAACTGGCGTGAGATGATTGGTTGAAGCTGGAAACCATCATTCTCAGCAAACTGACACAATAACAGAAAACCAAACACCACACGTTCTCACTCATAAGTGGGTGTTGAACAATGAGAACACATGAACACAGGGAGGGGAACATCATACACCAGGGCCTGTCAGGAAGCAGGGGCCTAGGGGAGGGAAAGCATTAAGAGAAATGCCTAACGTAGACAATGGGGTGATGGATGCAGCAAACCACCATGGCGCGTGTACACCTATGTAACAAACCTGCACGTTCTGCACATGTACCCCAGAACTTTTTAAAAAAATTTTACTCTGAACTGCAACAGCAGCCTAGCCTATTTCCTAATACACATCCCTTGGATTGCAGCCTTTCAATAGCAAGAAAAGTAAAGATCTAAAAAAAAGTGCTCGTTTCATGCAAATTTACACATGTAATTTATACCCCTTGGCTTTAGAGAGATTTTCCTACAAGAGAAGAATGATCTTGGAACACTGCACAGTTTACAACAGAATCAGTTTCTCATGGTAATTGATACAAACGATCCATGGAGTTCTGTTTTGGAAGCATTATTTAGACTGGAGGGATTGTGATCCAAGCAGGCAGTTTGGTTAATTTTCCCATTTAAGCCACAGCCACAGTTGGGTAATCCAAGGCTTCCAATGCAAACCACAGCAGCAATTCTGAATGATGTAGAAACCCTTTCTACACAACACTTGGGGAGTGTATCAGTTTCTCTGCTCTTTTTCTCTTTACACACAAATATAAAATGGACTCCAACTATGCACTCCAACTCTTTTCACTTAATTTTCATGCAAAGATCTTAGATATTCATCACTCCAATCTGAATAACTAATGGGGCGTGGGCATTTGTTGGGCAGTGAAGCTAGTAGGAGTTCACCGACGTAGGAAATACATTTCAGTCCCAAGCTCTTGATGGTAAAACTCTTTGCTGGTATATCATTGTTTCCAAAAAACACTCACAGTATCAAAAGGAGGTGGTGGTGGTGTTCAAAGACCATGGTGTAAAACTTACCAGGTAGAGGAGGAAAGGAGCTGACATACCTGACAAACTGGCTGAATAAGGCGGTAGTGTTCCGGATGATCCGAGCAGCCTGGGACTCTTCACGCTGGCATCTCTGCAGTGTTAATCCATCATCCATGTGGCCTTCCTGGTGGAGTATGACCTACCCACAGGGCAAGGGACAGCAGCTCTAGGTTACAATTATCCCACAATGGGCAGTCAACATTTCCTGCAGTATTTCTTTCATCCCTCTTATGCCTTTCTCCAACTAAGCTCCCCTGGGTCCATTTTGAGAATGGGACATTAGCAAAGTTATTTTACCCATATGCCCTATTAGCGACATGTGAACTATTCCTTGGCACACGGTGCTTTGATGAAAATGAAATTTTATGTGCCACCATGGTATGAGTTATGACATACTCCTTGGGCCTAGATGGTCAATTTGAAAGGGTGATAACATACCTCAGAGCAGATTTTTCTCTTAAAATGAACATGAAATCTTACCCTTGGAAATGGGAAAAGTCACTATGTTCAAAGCCTTTTTCTCCAGAGATGAACTTAAGAAAAAGGCAGTCAATTTAAAGCAAAACTCTGTACTGGGATCAGGCTTGGGTTACTCGACTGAAGGCCAACTACCCAGAAATAGTTAACTGTAGGGCTGGAGAAAGCAGCTCAAGGTGGTAGCTCGCTTCTCTTAGAGGCCAGAGAGTAAATTTGAAAGCATAGGCTCTGGTATCAGCAGACCTTTGTCTAGTCCCGCTATGCCACTTACCAGCTGTGTGACCTTAGGCAAGTTACTTAACCCCTATTTACTTTGGATTTCACTGTCTACAAATAGGCTTATCTTAGAGGGTTGCTTGGAGGATTTGATGATTTACATGTAGTCATTTGGCACGGTACCTAGAATCTAATAGGTGCTCAAGGAGTGTTTGTTTTAGAGACAGCATATTACTGATCATAGATCAGTAATTTGGAAGCTAAGCATATCTACTTTTCACTAATGACGTCATGACACAATTTTTTTTGGGAGGGGCTACTAGCTTTTTGTTTAGAGGTCAGTGGCTTTTCCCTTATAATGGTCAAGTATGTGAAGATGTTAAGTGAGATAGTTTGATCCTGGTTCAAGTAAGGTCAAATCCTGATTCAAGTTCCCTGGCTTGGTTTCCGCTTAATGGAATTAAGCAAAGAGAGATAACGTGTAGATTTGGAAAGTCTGTACGTCAACACAGACAAAATGTGTGGCTCCAGAAAATGTCTTTAGAATAAAGATTGTTGGTCTCTCTCATTTTTAGCATAAAGAAACAACTTATTTTCCTTTCCATGTGAAAAATCTCTTCCTTGCTTTTTATTATTTTGAAGGCACTTCCTAATATGATGAATTTATGCACGAAGTAGTATACAGGCTTGTTCATTTCTGAAGCAAGACCGCATCTCATCTATATACTGCAGTGTAAGCATGAGCAAAGCATACTCTTACCATTGAAATCACTAACTGTTAGAAAATATTACTTTGTCAGAACTTTCCAGGAGCTGGTTAGCAATGTTGCATTTGCGTTTAGCAACATATTGCCACTTTGTTTACTTTGGCCTGGGTCCCACATTTCTGGTCCTTAAAGACCAAAATTCTTAGGGTTTGCTTGTTCAGATAAAACATTTAAACTAGCCAGCCGAACGAGAAAGTAATGAGAACTGAGGGGAAACGCAATTGTTAGAATATTGTTATTATGAATGCTACTGATCTCAGTAGCTCAGTTCCTAAGGCCCTTTTTCTCTTGGAGAAATCTCACAACCCAAGAGCAGACAGAAGCAGGCTAAGACTGGAATACGAAAGAGGATGCTTTACAGTGGGTACTCATCAGGTGTTTCACTGTCTTTGTGCTCCATTGGGTTTTCTTGATTACCGTTTTGTTCATTTCATAAAAAACAACACATATTTGGACAATCTTTGTATTTTTGGAGAGGGCACTTAACATGCTTCTTAGGAAATGAAGCGGTGTAGCTCTGTTAAGGGCTGAGCACCATCACACCATCCAGAAAGCATTTATAAAAGCACCTCCCAAATTCACATATACATTCTAACAGTTAAATGAATCTACAGGCTATGGTCCTAGAAGAGAAAGGCAAAGGCATGGACAGGCACAGTAAGTCAACAATGCAAACTGAGATCTCTCCACATTTAGACACCTTGGAGTGTGTACCTGACCACCCAGGCTTACAGGCAACATCCATAAATTCCATGTTTCTTTAAAAGCTACCATTGCCTTACTAGGTTTGAGAATTGTAGAGGCTCTTGTTGATATTATTATGCTCTACAGAGGATTTAATTTTCTTCTGATAGGCTGGTAAGAATAGAAGATGGGTTCTTGGCATTTATTTTTGATTTGTTTGTATTCCCAGCATGTAGCCCTCATTCCCAGGGTGTAGCTCTTCTAAAGATCAACTGAAAGCCTACTGTGTTTCCCAGGACCATTCCTACTTGGTATACCCTGAACCCTGACTTGTATCTCCCTACCACTGTCCTAATGTCAACATCTCTGCTTCGTTCTTCATCATTACAGCACTTTTCTGTTTGCTATTTTGGCTTCACATCCCATCCATGGTCAGCTTAGTATTTCAGAGGAAACTGCATGTAGAATTTCAGGCTAATGTTTTTGTAGTTCTCTCTATTCTGGACTCATGGCCCCTTGAGTTCTAGAAGCCTTGGCAGACCCTATGTCTAATCTGTCTCTTCAGCACAATTGAGCTAATGCAAGATCCCATTCCGTGTTTCTGCAAATTAGCCAATGTGCTGAGGGGAAAAACAAAGATGAAGGTGGGCTCACCTTACTGCACTTATGTTCTATGTGCAATATTCCAGGCTTATGTTTTGATTGCTTGATTGTTGAAACTTTTCTTTTTTGAGATGGAGTTTCACTCTTGTTACCCAGGCTGGAGTGCAATGGCGCAATCTCGGCTCACTGCAACCTCCTCCTCCTGGGTTCAAGCAATTTTCCTGCCTCAGCCTCCCAAATAGGTGGAACTACAGGTGTGCACCACCATGCCCAGTTTATTTTTGTATTTTTTGTAGACACAGAGTTTCACCATGTTGACCAGGATGGTCTTGATCTCTTGACCTTGTGATCCACCCACCTTGGCCTCTCAAAGTGCTGGGATTATAGGCATGAGCCACTGCGCCTGGCCTCCTTTTTTTTTTTTTTTTTTTTTTTTTTTTTTAGGGTACTGTATCTACCCTTTGCAGTTGTTTTCAGAGGAAGGGTTGGTCTCATACAAGCCAGATTATGGCCTCTTATTTATTCTATATTCTATCCCCTCTTGATCATTTCATTTCCCCTTTTCTGGATATTTTTCTAGTCTGTCTTGCCTTACACAAAATTAAGATATTGCCTTCTGTTTGTTCTCGATATCCTTTCTTACCTTAACGTGTATTCTGGAAGACTTTTCATCATGATACCTTAGGCTGCTATACCTCAGCACAGTGCCTCCTAGCACCTTATTCTGGGACTAGATGACTAGCCAAACCCATATTTTATAAGGGTTTTTCAGGAACAAAAGCATCACATCCTTGGCATCCATTATCTGGTTCCCACCAAAAGAAACACTGTTATGGCAATTGACTTTCTGGTAAAAAATATTCTGTATGTATCCAAAGCTAGTTTTTCCCACTGGAGCAGGCTGTGATATACCACTCAAATAAGATACAACCTCTATGGATACAGTGTCATTCCACAACATCTCTTCTTTCTGCCAGTGGGTTCCTGTGGGCTTGTTATTACACAATCTGCATTTTCTGTATAGAGATCTATTTAGTCTCTACATTATGAAAACTGCACAATAGCTCAATTATTCCTGAAATGAAGGGAGCAATGATGTGGATAATCCCAAGACAGCAAATCACCAAAAGTCATTTAGATCAGGTTTTAGAGTGCATTAAACACATGCCACCTCCTCCTCACAGGTTTGCTGTGTATTTGTTTTTTTCCCTCCATTGAATATGGGGTCAAAGTATCCAAATTAGGCTGAAGCATTAGAGAAACTGTGTACAATCTATCACAAAATAACTCTTCTGAATAGTAGGAAGTAAAACACAATCACGTCCACCTGATTCTCAGAACCACTTCTATTGCCTAGTTGCTTCCAGCGTAGGGTAAAACAATTGTAGATAGACTTTCTGACTCTCACCTTTCTTTTTAGAGGTCCGAGGCGGGAAGTTTTAACATCTTGTGCTTTGTAGGTCACCCAGAGACCACTGGCTATATGCTGCACAAAGCAGACAGAATCTCCATACTTGATTTCTGGAACTCCCATGCCTTCTATATCTCGCTTGTGACTGGAATCTAATTTCTCCTTGATTTCCTAATTCATAAACAAAAAGAAACAAACATAGGCACGTCTGATTAAATAGAAACTTAATATACAAATCACCTAGGTAGAATTTGTAAGCGAGGCAACTGATCACCAAAATAATCATGATGTGCCTGTCCAAGCCAGGATTTCAGAAAGTCTTGCTTCCCTTATCTCTTGTTAATTGTAAAATCAATGGCTTTCAAGTTCTGGTTACTTCGGTGATTATTTAAATCCATGGGAAAAGGAGGCACCTAGAAGGCTCTCTTCTCTGTTCTGATTTTGTGTAATTCTTCACTGTATTTTCTACTTCCCTCATCCTGATTTTTATCCCTAAATAAGTAACCTTTCACTAGCCAATTAACTTATTTCCAGCAAGTGTCAGCTTCCATAATTGTAATGGTTATCTGTCATAAATGCACTGACTCAGGGGCCTTAATCATATCTACTGATTTCATATAAAATTTTCTTATAAAAATCTGCAGCGAAAAACGATCCTTTGAGTAGGCAGGGTTTACTACTGTGCCTTAAGCTAGTGTAGTAATTTGAACATCAGTCTCTTAGGGCCTCCTCAGTGGTGCGTTGTAGTCAGGCGGTTTCATTCTTCAGTTGTCAGTTTCACTACCTATTCTCCAGTGAGGAAACAGGACTTCCTGTGCATCAGGTAACAACTCAGTGACAACCTGACGTACCTGTCTGATGTATGGTAACTTCTTCCCCTCCTCATCAGTCAGGGCCCCCATGGTTCTATTCTGAACGGTTCTACCCTATTTTCATTTCTTTTCTACATCCTGCATTAAATTGCTCTTTGTAAAAGCCATTAAGTAGGCAGCAATTTGAACTTTTACAAAACAAAAAACGGCATTCCCTGTTTGCAAAAACACTCTTCTGGTTTTTTTGTGTTTTTTTTTGAGCCAGGGTTTCACTCTGTCACCCAGGCTGGAGTGCAGCGGTATAATCTTGGCTTACTGCAACCTCTGCCCCCAGGTTCAAGTGATCCTCCCATGTTACCCTCCCAAGAAGCTAGGACTACAGGAGCAGGCCACCACACCTGGCTGGTTAATCTTTTTTTTTTTTCCCCCAGAGACAAGGTTTCCCCATGTTGCCAAGGCTGATCTTGAACTCTTGAGCTCAAGTAATCCACCCACCTTGGCCTCCAACATTCTTATGTCATTCTTAGCAGTGGAACAAACAGCAGTACATGTATTGAGTCATTCCCATGCTCCATACAATATTCTAAGTTCTTCATGTGTATTAATTCTTTATAGCAGCCTCTGATGTAGCTATAAATGCCATTCCAGTTTTACAGATGAGAAAATGAAGGAGGTAAACTTGTCCAGGATCTTTAAGTCAGGAAGTAATGATAGGATTTAAACCAGGAAGTCCAGCTCCAGAGTCTGTGCTCTTCTCAACTACCACTCACCCTTCAAAACCCTGCTCAGAAGTCACCTCTGTAAAGAACAGTTAGTCTCTCCTGCTGTTCTTCCCCAGCACAGTTTCATTGCTGTATTGGGCACTTAGCACATCATAATGTAAATGTGTTTGTTTATATGACATTTTGTTTTTGTCAGGCTATTGAAAAAAAAATCCAGGGCACAGACCACATTTCAATTAACTTTGTATTTATAACAAAATTCAACACCTATCAATTACTTAATGGACATATATTGAGAGAATAAATATAGACAGTTGAGTGATTTTCTTTCACATTTTTCATTTCAGCTATTTTTCTTCAAACTTTCATAAAAACAAAATTATTTTGTACAACATTTAAGGCTCACTTGGAGCAACATTAGTACTTCACAAGAAATTTCTTTTTCTTTTAAATGTGTGTGTTGAAATATTGGCTGGACTATTAAATCTGACTTATTTTTTCAAGCAACAACATAACATCCAATAATAAGTATGAATTTTTCTTTCTCAAAAGGATTATTTCCAGAAAAATTTATTTCTGATTTTATAACATTAGCTAACAGGAAAACAGTATTTGATATACTGGGATTTTCTTCATAGGCAATTGATCAAGAATGCATTTATTCTATAAAACAATGGATACTTGATTTTCACTGCAGAAATATTCACAGCTCTGGAGACACACAAGCCAGTAACAGGACTGAAAAGATGCCAAAATTTTCATCTCTATTCTGCTCTCTAACCATAGATAATGCAGTGGTTGAAAATTACATACACAACTATTAAATATGAATAATTACGTTGATTTTTAATGGCTCCTGATTAAAATAATGCTTATTTACCCAACTATCAATGAATATGGTAACTTCCTTATTTTCTTGCTTTTCATTTATTTAAATATCGCTTTGCCAAAAAAAAAAGATCTGTTTTTCTGAAGTCACTGAAATACATGAGTCATTATTCTGTATAGAAAGGAGTGTTTCTGTGTCTTTGCTTTTACGAAACAGCATCGGCTTCCAAATTTTATGGTACTCACTGCAGTAGCCACTTCTAATTTAATAGAACAATAGCAGCAACAACAAAAATGAAGACAGAGAAAAAACTCAACACTAAAAACAACCCCACTTCAACCCTAAACGATAAAACAGTAAAGGAAATTAAAGAGCTTGGTGATGGAAATGCTTGATTTTATTGACAGCACATTGGTGATTTTTTTGTACTTGAGTATGAAGCAATGTTCCTTTCTGTTTTTACTTGAATATGGCCCTAGCTGCGGTCACCTACCGCTAGAAATGGAACCTTTCTAAAAAACAGAGCTAATCCAATCATTCTCTTTCAATAACTCCCACGTTCCTATGGAATACAATTGTTATCTCTAAAGTTTTTATACCCAAAATGCTCTAACTAAATTGGACTAAGAGTACTTATCTTCATGTACCAAATATTCCCCTTCTCTGGGCCTTTACTGAGATTACACTTTCTGTTTAAAATTCCCCTGCATCATCTTGGCATCACTACATCTGTATTGTTTATATTTCCTATCTTCTGTGTATTATGGTGTTTTGATATTTTTGAAACCCTTCTGGCTGGGGAGAGACTGCCCTTCTTGGAACTAGCCAATTCTTCAAGAGAGCAAAGGGCTCAGCTGCATGCCTTTGATATGCAATCTAATCAATTCACAGCCAGACCTCCTCTATCTGGCTCATACCTCCCAGGAGGCAATAATCCTCTGCTTTCCCAAGGCTAGGTACTAGGTAGATAGAGACCACCTCTATAGCTTCTAGCCCCTTGAAATTAATCAAACTAGCAAATCCCAAACTGTTTACCCCAGCCCTGCCTTGCCTTAACCATGGAAACCTCAATAAAAGTGGTAGGGTAGGTTCTCACCTTGCTCCTGCCCCTTTTGTCTGCCTCCTGACCAATGCTGGTGCTTTCCTATATGACTCTGCCATGGCGTGCTGTTGCTAAGACCTGTGAATATAATAAACTTTGTTTTCCTAAGCCTCTCCTGTATCTCCTCATATGGCTGCACCTGACCGACGATACAGAAAGGAATATAGCATAACATCTCATTCATCAAGCCTTCTCTACAGCCAAAGTCGGAGGATACCTATGCACATCTTCTGATCTCATGGTCTTGTGGACCCTGCAAGGACTGCCCTTTCCAGGGCTAGCCAATTCCTAAAAATGTCAAAGGATTCATCTGGGAGACCACCTTTTATGTGCAAACCAACCCAAAGCCCATAAAACCAACCATTTCCTGTACCCTCTGGACCACCATTCCCCTAGCGTAATCTCCCCAGGGCACGTACCAGACAATTAATAGCAACTCCTACGCTCCAGAGCCTACTGAACTTATTCCAAGTAGCCAGCCATAAGCCTTTGTATCCTGCCTAGCCCATCCCTTTCCATGGAAACCATGAAAAGGCTCTTTCCCCCAGTTTCCCCTCTCTCTGCCTCCTGGTGGATCCTGCTGCTTCTCCATGTGGCCCTATGTGCTATGGCATGATCATTCCTCTTGGGAACTGTGAGTAACGAGTGTTCTTTTTCAGCGCTGATTGTCTCCTGATTTGTTGGCTTCATAATACCTGAATAATAAAATCTACATTTTAAAAAACATGTATTTTGTTGTTGGTATACTAGCTGACCCATTCCAGACTGAAAACTCCAAGGGTGTAAAACTGGGATTTATTTGTCTTTGTATTTCACACAATGCTCTGCTTAAAATTGGTTGCATATCCTTTGTTACTGTTTTATTGCTCTGCAGGCATTCAACCTGTATCTGTTTATCAGCATGAACCTTGTTTATGTTAAATGATAAACTGATTTTAAGAAGGAAGAGTTTACCTGGCCTAGTATGTGTTGAAGAGCAGTAATCATTATCCTCTGCCTCCACTGACAGCTTAATAAGGAAATGCTCGTGACCATATCATAATTATCATATTAGTATTTGCCTGAGATGATCAAGTTGCTACTTTCCAGATTGGTTTAATATTCCTCGAAGGGTGAAGAAAGAAACTAGACCCAATAGTTGCCCAGTGCCTAGTTTGAATTAGGTATTGTGCTAAATACTTTACAATGAAAATGCTATCACGTAAATTCATCAAGGACCTATGAAGTGGTATGTATCATACATGATGCTTTACGTTTTCTCTAAATCTTTCAATGGACCTACGGTTTTTATTATCCTACTTTATAGATAATAAAACTGAGGCTTGCAGAGTTTGAGCAACTTGCTCAAAGCCACATAGTTCTAAGTAACGGAACAAAATCCAAAATGAGGTACAATTCCAAAGCCAGATATCATTCATTCGAACAGAATTATCTAAATGGTTACCATTGCTAGTAGCACAGTTAAGTAATTAATTTTACCAATAGTTTAGTTTCTTAAAGGTTAATATGAAGAAAAAGTTGAAAACATATACTATTATTAGAAAATGGCTTTGGGTTCATATGAATTTTAAGAGTTATACACATAAATCAATAAGCACACCAAGGTGGTATGGTCTATATTCAGAGTACAATTGGAGTTTGGAAGAAAAAACAACTCTACCAGGGGAGTTAAAGATGGTTCTATACAAGAATTTCTACCTGAAATG